GTGAGTTTACTATACTTGATTGTGTTTGTCTGATTTTTACTTTAGTTTTTTATAATTATTTTAGTGGGTAATTAGTGAAGTAATGAGAAAATACATTCAAGTATTTAAAATGCATATTCTGTCTTTGAAAATTTTATGGGAACATTTAGGGTTATTTTCTTAGGGAAATTTTTGTGATATTTTGAAACATATTTATATTTTTATAATTTTTAATGATTTTAAAATTTTAAAATAAATAAATATTAGACAAATATGTTTTTAATTTTAAATCCCATTTTTATTTTCTTAGGTCGCTCTTACTTTAGTCAATTCATTAAACTTGATTTTATAATTTTATGATGTATGTTTTATTTTTATAATTTTTTTAATTAAAATAGAGATGATTAACCTAAATAATTAAGGCTTTTAGGGTTAGAGATGGGGTTAGAGATGTTCTCTGATCTTGAAAAAAAATCAGAGAGCATTTCCAACAACATGATTAATAAACCCTAAAAAATTCAATCCATGATGATAAATATTTAATTAATTACAGATTAAATAAGTTTTAAAGTAAATAAATAATTAAAAATCAGAAAATATAAAATTATTTTTTATTTTATGTTTAATTGATTCTCTAGTATGTTTTATTTTAAAATATTAATGTATGTTTTATTTTTTATTTTTCTACACCAAAATATGATTTATTAAAATTAAATTAAATTTTTTGAATTTAATTAAATCAAAATACCCCTAGTTATCTACTTAACCACTGTATCATCATAACTGTCCAACCCTCACATGGTACACTCCCATTCGCTGCAGTTTCAACATCGACAGTCTTGTCAGCCCGCGATTCATGTTCCATCTTTCCGTCCGACTCTATCTATAATGCTCGTTTAAAAACACCTGAATGGACGACATCCATTCATCACCTCAAATGATTCATAACCCGTAAACCATCCACACTATAAGCCTAAGGTCTCGCTCGATACTTAACCAAATCACATGAGGTTTGTTCCTACACCTTCATCTAAATGAGACGAACACATCTATATGGCTAAGTGTATATGAATTTTTCATTCTCTTCATAAAAATCTAAACTGAGACAAAAATGGGAGTTTTCGAGCAATTCTTTTGTCCAAAAGATGAGGGCCTCAATTGGATGGGTTGAGAAGCTTTGTCTTGGTAGCACAAACCTCCTCCAAGTGTTGGTTTTCTCTATGGATGGGTCTAAATGGTGGATTGGGAATAGGGGCTTTCGATTTACAAAATGATTTTAGGCTATAGGAAAGATTTTGGAATGACCAAAAAAGTCCTAATTTTGAGCATTTAAATTAGGTTTTCTCAGTGGGGAAGAAGGGATAAAATTGATTGGGATGAGTTTCATATGAGTATAATAGGGTTTTAAATGATTTTGGCAGAGTTTCCCTAAAGTTTGTGTGCTTCTCCCCTTTGGGCGTGAAGGGTGGTGTATTTATAGAGCAAGAATTAGGGTTTAGTTGAGTTTGCCAGCGGTGGAAAATGGTGCTTATGTGGAGGGAAGATAGTGACCAAGGACCAAAGGGGGTGAGCCACATTGGAGGGGCTTAAATTTGGGTTTTGTCCATTGGTGGGCTCTTAGGTTTGGGTTTTTCGGCGGCCAAGGTGGCCAGCCGGGGCATGGGTGGTCACCATCCACCTGTGACAGCTTAGGGGTGGAGAGTTGTGAAGTCAATTGTGGGGTGACAAGTGTCCAAGGGTTATATTTAAATGGAATAAAGTTTGGGTCACTTTTGGGTTTGACTTTAATTTGGCTCATGAGAATGGGTTTGTGTCACTCCCAAAATGGCTTGACCTGGTGGCCAGCATGGGGGCTTGGGTGGTCAAGTCCCATTCCAAGATATTAGGGCTTAATCATGGATTAAAGTAAAGCATTGGTATGGTTAAGTACTTTGGGGGGAAGATTAAAGAGCCTCTTATAACCATAAGTGGAAAAGTGTCTTAGATGAGGCTCATGCATGGCACCTTGGCTTATGGCTCATGCATGGCTTACATGGCTTGCATTTAAGAGGGGAGGTGATATTTTCAACCCTTTGGAAATATTTTCATTAATTTCACTTTTGGTTGATTAATCATAGAATTTTGGACCATAAGTTTGATTAATTTGACCATATATGGCTGAAATTTGTCATGTGAGTTTTTGTTTGAAGTGAGTTTGGAATTTGGACTTGGTTCAGTGGGCTTTTAGGATGGGTTATGAAGGGTTGATTTTATGCTTTGATGGTATTGAAAATTAATGATGTTTAATTTCATGAGGTCTTGAATCCATCATGACAAAGTTTAGGATTGAACTTAACATATGAGTTCAAATTTGGTGAATTTAAGGTATGGGGTGAATTTTGGTGTAAGGTTAAGGTGAATTTGAGATTAGGGTTCATGGGAATTAGGTTTGAAATTTTAAAATTGGGGAATTTTTGGAAATTGGGATTTCAAGAAATTTGGGTGATTTTGGTCAATTAGTGAGATTAGAATATTTTGGTAATTTTAAGGGTTTTGAGTAGTTTTGAGAATTTTAGAGTAATTGGGGCAATTTGGAAGAAGTTTGGTGCATGGTTAAGTGTAGAGAGGTGTAAGTGTGTGGAGTTAGGTGAATGTGTATGTAAGGTGAAGTAAGTGATGTGTGGGGAAGGTATGGGGTGATGTAAATTGTAATGAGTATGGGTTGTGTGTGAATTTTATATAGGGTATGTGATGTGGTATGCATGTGAATTGTAATGGTGTATGTTGAATGTGTATGTGGTGTGAGGTGAATGTACAAGTTATAAAGAGCTTCCCTTAGGCATTGTCACCCTATAGAAACTTTGAGGCTTCACCATGTTGGTCTAAACCAACTCAAACAAGTGTTGAGGGTTTAAGACCACCCATGTGAGACTCCACAAAAGAGTCAAGAGGTGGCAAAAATTTCTAAGTTAGGTGGGTCCCATCACTAGTATTCTAGGATAGTCAATAGGGAAAATCTTATAGCTAGATCCTAAGCTTTAAGAGAAAACTAGACCTCACCAAAAATGAGGTCAACACCCTCAAGTTCAGTTATCTCGCATGCACAAAAATCTTTAGAGCTCGAAACTCGTTTCCCCTCTTCTTTCCACAGCCGAACACTGTAGATCGCACCTCCTCCCTCTTCTTCTTCTTCCAATCTAATCTCAATGGAGAACAACTTGAGTCCCTCTTCTCCTCTTCCCGCACACGAGCATTGGTGAAGACGCTTGACTATGGCATGAAAGTTTCCTTCTCCTTTGACTTCTTCCTCTTCCCCTTCCTACGTGCGCACTCGGTTCTTCTCCTTTGGTCTCGACGTACACAACAGAGCTGCGCACATAAAGGATTTGATGCTCCTTTTCTTCCTTCACTTTCTCCTGCATGAACATAACGAAGGTTACCTTCTTCCTCTTACTTCTTCGGCAAGGGCACACATAATCATTCGCTCTCATGGTCTCTCTGTTTTTTTTCTCTCAATCTCTACCACAATCTCTTGCACGTTCGCTTATGTTTGATGGCCGAATGAGAGGATCGAACGATAACGATATGTTTAATCGCAGTTTAATAATAATAATAATAATATTATTATTATTATTTATTTTTGTTATTACAAGGTGAGCTCCATCACAGCCACAAATGCACATGTAAGCATGTTATAAAAATCACTATCTAATAATGATTATTTCATTCTCATTTGCATAGCAATCAATATACATATTTAACATTTAATATCTATGATAATTTAAACAAGATTAAGTACACATCATTCCTTCATTATGAACAAAATTCAATAGAATCATAATTCGTGGGTTTGCACTAATTTCAATATAACTAATGACAACAATTGTAGATGCATTTGATCTAGTAAAAACTAAAATATTACCATAGCAAAAGAATATGAGTACTCACATTTAATATTGCAACTTTCTTCTTACTCCAAACTAAAGTTTTACAAGTTAAATAAAATTTAATTAAACATATTTTTAATATTATTTACCTTAGTTATCTTGATCTCTTTCAAAAATATTGGCCTCTGTCTTCCTCCAAATTCAAGACTTAAGAACCTTGAACTTGATTTGAAATGATAATAAACATAAACATGCATATATCAAATTTTTATTATATAAGTTAATTAAAAATATTAAAACTCACCTTTAATGTAGCCATCAAAAGTCCTAACAGGCAAACATGACTTCTTCCTCTTATTCCATATGAGGTTCGACTTCTACTAGCACAAACAAGCCATATCTTCCTCTACTAGGGCTCGAATTCAATGTTCCCTTCCACTTCCTTTCTCGCTCACAACCTCTCATTCTCCCTTTTTATTTGATTCTAAATGGCGTATACGACTCCTAAGTCGAAATAAAGAGATGATTTTTCTTTTATATATATATATATATATATATGCTTGTCAGTTGTAAGTCTCCTTTAGTCATGGATTTGATTCCCCCGAATGTAGGGTGTGTATGCTATATCATCATCATTTTTAAAATTCAATTATTACATAGGTACTCAGTAATTTGAGCTCTCCAAATAAAATCTCAACTTCAACATGTCTGAATTTGTCAAATTGTCTTTCATTTTCTCATTCACCGCCTATTCTCAAAGTTCCACCACAATAACGGGAAAGAAAAAATCATTCTATTTCAACTAGGAAATAGTCTATTTCAGTCTTATTTTAAATTATTGTCACAACACTTTTTGGTTTATTGATGAGAACACCTTTCTAGAACTAGATTTACTATAACATGATGCCCTAAAAAAGTTGCACTCGTTTTTTTTTAAAAGGAAAAAATAGTTAAGATGTTCATAAAAACCTTTAAGAAAATTTAATTTCACTTTAACAATTCCATAGCTATTCTTACAAATAACTATAACCTCTTCCAATAAATCATTTGTTTAAAATGCTTCATGCTGATTATGTCGTGCGGTTATCGAAGATCGGTAGTCCAATGATTTTTTTTTTTTTTCCAGACGGCGTGAGCGCTTGAAGCCCACCCCTTAAGATTCTTCATTTTATTTTCAACCAATGCATTTATTCTTATTCCTACACATTCATCACTAGAAAATGTTACTGCCACATTAATATGAATATTGACTCCAGTAAAACAATTTTTTATTTTGAATAAACTGAAAAAAATAACTCAAACTGACTACCTGAAGTGATTAAATAATCTCAAACTGAAGAAAAACTGGCCTCAGAATCAGGCAAAGAAACACAATAATAACCTGCATCGTCTCAATTCTGCTCTGGCAATACGAGACGATCTTGTCCTTGCACAAGTTCAGCTGATCTTATGAAATCTCCTGATTTAATTTGTGAAAGTACATCCCTTCCATTAGTAGTGTATCTGAGAGTGGAAGAAAGCATTCTTAATTTTAGATTAGCAGACACAATCAGTCTTTCTGTTCATCATAAAAGCAAGTTGATATACAGTTAGAATGTTTCCATATTAAGAAGAACAGAGATCTTTGGAAAGGAACAAAGGAATACCCGAAAACAGAAAATTGTCCTTCATCAAAAGATAATCCTCCTAATCCAGCCTGAATGGAAGGGCAATAAAATAGAAATTTTTAACCAATTAAAATAGGAGCCAAGGTGTGCACGAAAGCTAAATTGCCGGTGAACAGAATAGAATTGTATTTATTTTAAGGAAATTATGATCTACAGATTTATGAGTAGCAAACATGAAATTGGATAATATGGAAATCTTTGTTACTGTCACAATTAATGAAGACATTTGAGAGTAGAAAAAGAATCTTCATATGTTTCTTAGTGATCTTGAGAAAAAAAAATATGATTATCACATGAACTGATTTGGTGCACAATAAGAAATACAGGGATGTGTCAAAATATTTGAAGTTATTAAAAAGAACGTATTATGAAGCATTAGAAATAAATATAGAGTTATCATATCATAATGCAATTGTATCAAAGATTACAATTAAGTTGGTATCTTTTTGATTTGGTAATAAAGACACCAAGAAAAATAATTCAACGGTTCTTTGGAATATGTTTTCATTAGATGCCATAATTCTAAATGGTGAAGCACTATTGAAATAAGAGGTTTATTAGAATAATAAAGAAAATATTAAGAACACAGAAAACTTGGGACTTATTGAACACAGCAAATATAAAAGGACTCTCCGGTGCATGAACATCCCCACCAATATAGGGTTTTAAGGAGGGCTGATGTACTAGTCTTATCTCTATATTTGCAAAGAGATTTTATGAATCAATCTTAAGACATTCAAATCGTAAAAAATGTAATTAAATTTATTAAACCATTGCTCTAGACCCGCCTGCACAAACAAAAACCTAGTATATAAAAATAAATTCAGTGGATTTATTATTTAATATTACTAGAAGATATAGTTAGAAAAAAGCAAAAATACACGAGGAATTGAAGAGCCAAATCAAACTAGATTTATATGAGACAATTCTTAGAAGTCACGGTTTAAAACCAGTTGTTAAAATGCACAAAGTTGACCGAATACTTTGTTAGTTCCGCCAATCGGATAAAGTAAGATAGACCGAAACCAAACATATAGATTTGATAATGTATTTAAAAGAAATATATAACAAAAAATCAAATGTGCAGTTGTTTTCTTGGTAATTTGACATAATGTACGTGTTATATGGTTTAAAGAGATTTGTATTATTTTATATAGTTGCCTACTAATTTCCTATGCATAAACATCAGCAATTATATGGTGAAGGCAAATTTTATTTAATAAGCTTTGATTGCTACATTATTGTTGAGATTGAATTGTAGAAATCTGATCAACTTTGATGAGGCTGTAAAAAAAAAAGTAAAAAAACAATTTTCTTAGCTACCAAACTAAGTAGAACTGAAACTCAAGTACTTCCAACTAAATTATGATTCCAACAATAGTAGAACCAAATGGAGCTAGTTTGGGTACCAAGTCGAGAGGAAACCAATTTTGTTTGATTCAAGTAACACCCCAAGATAGAGATACATATGTATGATATATGCTTGATATCTCAAATGCATCATACAAAACAATGAAAACATAGATGAGAAATGTATCATACAAAATAATTAAATCATAGATGAAAGTTAGATTGTTAAGATAAAGTACATTACAAGTATCATTTAATGAGAAAATATTACGGAGACAAAACTTTTTATGGTTGCAATTTCACCGACAATGTTGTATAGATCACGAGTTTTGGATGATAAAAAAAATCATTGAAAGCTTTGTTTAATATAGTTTAAAAAAGAAAATTCTAGGATATATGTAACCAAACAAAAAAAGGTTTTATTAGGAAATAAATTCACTAGAGGAACAATGACAATATAAATTGAAGATAATATGATAAAAGATAGAATTAGATGGTTTATGCTTATATAACAAAAAACGAAAAACACACTCACAAGTTAGGCATATATAATTATGGTTGAAGAACAAACCAAGTAAACAAAACAACAACCTTCTTTGATTCATCCTTTTTTTTGGTATTATTTATTTATTTTATTTATTTTTTTTTGCAATAAAAAATCTTCCCTGTGATTCCTTGTAATAACGGTAAATATAGTGATTATTTTCCTGAGCAATCACAGCATGCTAATCAGCTTCTCAAACTTGGTTTAAATAAATCCTTAGAAGATAGATTAGCAACCTGTTGAGATGAAGGTAAGTATGTAGCAAAAATTCTCCTTTCTTTGATGAAGTGACAGTTGAATTTCACATGCTTTGTTCTATCATGATGAAGACGGTTATATGGGAGATGCTAATAGAAACCTTGTTCATGTCGATCTTCCTTGGGAGAGCTTTACTCCAGTTGATCTTTCAGCTTCCATCCAGTACCTAGGACTGGTCACACGGTGGCTTACTAGGTTGGACCAACAATAATTTAGCTTGTGCCATCAATAGTATAACTCGTTACAGTGATCCATTCAGTGATTGTCAATGCCATAGTGCTAAGAGCAATAGAGGACCAAATAGCTGTGCTGAGTTCATCTCAGGCATCTCTTCCTCATCCTTAGTGGAAGAGGTTTGCACAAAACGAGCTACATCCTCCCCTGGTTGCACTTCTATGACCATTTGAAGCACCTATTCGATGTCAATCTCAATGCATGTCTTCAACAGGAACATACATTTCAACATCTATTTACATAAAATGCATGAGATGAGAACCTACAGTTTGTCAGTTGGGCTCTTTGGACATTATGCCTTAAACTTTCTAATTTGACTAAATCAACAAGTATATTAGGGAAGACAAAACCATAAAATCTTAACCAGATCTGCCTCCATTCAATCAATCATTCTCCATTTAAATAAATACATCTAACTATCAAATATAAGAAGTGAGCTTAAGCAATCTTTTTACTCAAGCGTGTTCTACCATGAAAGAAAGCAATCAACAATGAAGATTTTTGTTCATAAATAAACACTAACATAACATTAAGATCGATCAATTTAAGATAAAATAGAATCTACCACAATATAAACTACTTCTGGGCCCTCTTATTTACACATCAACAAGGCTAATGTGGCTAGGTTGGCTTTTTTGAATAGATAGCCCACAATTTTATTTTACATTTATGTAGCAACAATGCGGGTTCTGAAAATTTGACACTTGGATTCTCTGTTTTGTCAAGAGGTTGGTCGGATCAAATTTTCAGAAGACAAATACCCAGAGATTTAACCCTCATTTTGCAATTTGATTTGGGATTTGGGATTTGAGATTTTCTATATGTGCAAGTCCCTAAGACTAATAAACCTTCTGGATAAAATCAAATATTTAATATATAGTAGTAACAAACAAACTATTTAAATTGTAAAACTTATCACTTGGAGCTTAAAGTGGATGTTGGAGGAAATGATGATGAACCTAATTAAGTTCCTATGGTTCCATTGTCTCGGGTCATCATGGTCCATGACCTACTTAGTCAGAGGGGATAGGAGACCCAACATGACTAAAGGATCCTAGTCAGCAACCATTGTTAACTTTAGCTGGCATTATATCAGTTAACTGTAATCTTATGGTTTACAACTCAAATGGTAGAAACTCGTTTGGGCACACATGGGCTACGGAAAGATCATAATATAATAATGCATTTGGTGGCACCGGTCAAATAACTCTGGTAGTAACCGCTACTTTCATAGAGACTTTTGAGTCAAATCAAGTGGATAGAAGACTCAAGCCTTATCTTTGCTGTTGTGAAATTATTTTGAGAGTAAACATAACGATAAATTCGATGTGACATTTATTTTTTATGAGCTGAAGTCAATTAAAAATTTGTCACCTCCCATAAAATGTTGTGAAGGTAGATGAAGTTTACTTTAAGTTTTACATGATTTAATTTTAAATTAATATTTTAGTTTATTGCTTTGAAAATCTGATTTGGAAGTCTTAATTTAAAATGTGTTCCATTTGGTTGAGACTTTTGATCAACGCGACCAATATCAAGGATTTAAAAATTTGAAAAACTTATGTTTAAGATTCACTTGAATTTTCTTACTCTTGTCCACTCAGTCCTGGTGAGGAGGAGAATCAAACTAGGAGATTTGAACTTGTAAATTCTTATATTTATAATTTAGATATTATTGAAACTTACTAGATTCGTCAAATCCAGTCTTTAAGAGGAGAAGAATCAGACTAGTTCAGTGAGACTCATAACCTTGCCCAATAGAAAAGGCAATAAGTTTGATTAATCTGTTTTTAAATTGAGATTAATTAGAATAAAAACTTTTACTTTGGTGGTGCACATGCAGGTGTTCAATTTCATTAACTTGAACTATTAAAATGACTTTAACATATGTTTCGAATATTCACATGATAAACTTGCAGGCTTCTAATACATTCACACAACACAAAAAGACTCACATAACTACTGGAGAAGATTGCAATGCACCTGCATGAATCCCAAGGCATTACATATAAATTAGACATTATCTTAAAGCTCATAAATTACATTCAAAACTTTAAAAGTTTAAGTGAACATTATAATTTTGAAATGCATACAAGGTTTCATTTTGAGCTACTAAATGAATCACCTTCTATTCGCTGGCAGATATATTGCAAATCCAATGGCGAGGTTAGAATATTAAGCCTTTTAGCACTCTCCGATTTTTGGTGCACAAGTGGAGGATAACTGAAATATGCTCAGTTTGCTTTTCTTGATTTTTTTATGCACAGGTGGAGGAAAACTGAAATATGCTCCGATGGCTGGGCCGATTTTTCTAACATTTCCCACTCTCTTGCAAATTTTTCCATGTAGTTTACTAGGGAGATTTCTAAAGAGGAAATTTAGAATGCTGTAAAGGCGATGGGACCGATTCGTGCCCCTGGCATCGACGGGATCACTGCCGCTTTCTACAAGCATTTTTGGCCTATTGTTAACAAGGAAGACATCAATGTCATTCAAAACTTCTACCTTACTTCCAACAAGCCAACTCAGTGGAAGGAATCGTTTGTGATTCTTATTCCCAAGAAGGAACAAGCTGATTTGCCTAGCTTATTCCGTCCTATCAGCTTATGCAATACCATTTATAAGGTAGTTGCTAAAAGTCTT